ACTTTTTTTTTTTTCTTATTATTTTTATTTTTTCTTACTTTTTTTTTTTGACGTCATAGGTGTTATAAAAAGGCAAGTAACGAAAAAGAGCAAAGACCAAATTTTGGAAGTTTTAACGATATGGATTATTGGTTTAGGGCAAAAGATCCTATTGAACATCGTCAAAATGCCTTAATTTGAAAAAAAGATTTAACAAAAAGTAACAGAAAACAACATTTTAGTCAAACTCAAGTTAGATGGTCTGAAATACTTCGCTTGCCTTATCACAATCCAATAACACATTTAATTGTTGATCCGATGCACTGTTTGTTTTTAGGGGTTGCACGTTGGATTGTGAAATTATGAATTGAAGGTGGAAAAATTTTAAAATCGGATCTCAAATTAATAGAGCAACGAGCAACAAATATTAAAATACCAACTGACCTTGGTAGAATTCCATTTAAAATAGCAACTGGCAAAGGATTTTCTATATTTACAGCTGATTAATGAAAATCCTTCATTATAATATATGCGATCCCACTAATGTGGGATCTTTTAGACATTCAAGACAAAAAGATTTTGGTCAAATTTGTAACACTTGCTTTTTGTTAGTAACATGAATCATTGACATTAATGTGTTGGATGAAACACAATCCCAGTTATTACAAGTTGCTTACTTGGTTGAAAAGAATTACGGTCCAGAAGTAATTACTTCAAACATTCACCTATCACTCCATATAGTTGAATGTTATCGAGACTATGGCCCATTATACTCCTTCTGGTGCTATTCATTTGAGAGAATAAATGGAATTTTGGATAAATATTTTAATAATAAATTTCACACTTATCAGTTATTACAAACCTATATACATACATACATATTTGGCTCAAAACTATTTGATGCTAAATTATTATGCCCTATAGTATATGTATATATTGTGTATCCAAAATTACTATTTAATTCTGTGTGATAATTTAGAATCACATTGTTTTGCGGCTGTATAGTCAAATGTGCTCTATATAAATTTCTTAACATATGCAGTATAGCTTGGTCTTAGCTTCTAATAGCTATATGTCTTTTGTTCTATATAAATACAAAATTCTCAAATAATAATTTATCAGAATAGTTTATGAGAAACTATTAATTTTGCATATGTATACTTGCTTTTTTTTTATTATTATTCCGGAGTGAGGTTTGCTCTAATAGTTTATTATTCTCTTTAGGTTCCCTTCCCGAATAGTCACCACCAAATAGAGCCGGAGCTATTAAGAATCATTCTGGAGAATTGGCGACTTGATGACCTTATATCTGCTCAATCGAGTAACTTGAAACTTCTCAAAGATTTAAGCCTAATACGACCAAAAGCAGCAGTAGAAAGCTTAGCAGCTTATAACAATTTGGAGTTTAATAAACTTCACCATTTTAGGCAGATTTATTAGCTTGAAATTGAAGATACAATTACCAGTATTGAATCTTTTCTCGGCAAAATACTGTCTCCTAAAAAAGCAAAATTTAAATTGCCAGATAATGTATATAATGTACTGGTGGCTTATTATAATAATGCATACGACATGAAATTTTTGTCAATTAGGGAGGCAGCTCAGATAAAGTAAAAATTTCTGACCAAAAAATTGTTGTCAAATCTCAAGTAAATCAATTCAGACATGTTTAAATTGGAGCTGAAGTATTTGGATCAGCTGATACGCCTCGATATTTAAATAATTCATTTATTCTTGCAAAGTTCGTACAAGAAAATGGCTCTATAGAAATATTTCCAAACCAGGTTCAATATTTTTTTGAACACGAAGTTAATCTACCAGGAACAAGAGATATACATCGATTGGCTTATGTAAAATGGTTTAGGGCTGCCCCAAACTACAAGACAAGATTTCACTTTCAAGTTAATGATATTAAAAGCAATATAGAAATTTGGGCTCAAGACTTTTACAATATTGACAGAGATTGTATTATACCTATTCATAATATATTTGGTCGATTTGTACCCGCTGAATATAAAATAGGCAAAAAAAAGCCTATTAAATATATGGCTGTTATTTCTGTAAAAAGAAATTTTCATATGTAATCCAGTAATATAATCTACTTACTGAATTTTTTCATTTAAAATTGATGCATTATAACAAGGTTCCGGGTGAGATTTAATCTGATTTTTCTCAATTATTATTTCTTGAAGTAGAGTAGTGCGGTATACATTATGTATAGTAGATATACAATATATATAGTTTTTTAAGTTTAAATTATATAGTATATAGTATTAAGTATAATTAAAATTTATTTTTATACTATTTAGTAATTATAAGCAAATTTGTCTAGCAATCAAAAACTT